AAGGAAGGGCCAAGGAAGAAAGCCCTCATGCTATGACTGAGCTTGCAGCCAGGAGGCACGGGGGCGGGGGGGGGAGATGAGCCCAGTCCAGGGCTCCCCAAAGAATAGAGGGCCCCTGCAGCGGCCCACGGTGGGAATGCTTGGAAGTGGTCCTGGTTGCCCTGGAGACTTGTCCATTACTATTGCTAGCTCTGAACATGCCAGAGGCACACCAGGCAGAACCCCTGTTCCACCCTTAGCAAGCGCTCACTCTCAGATTCCTGGCTTTGCCTCAAAGGAAATAATTAAAACAAGAACTGGCTTTGGGCAGATTTTCCTTTCCCACCAAGAGAGACCAGCAACCTAATGTACTCTGTGAGGCTGCGTGTCTACGCGTTTCTTAGTTATAAACTCCTTAGGAATCATCGAGATGACTTATAGACCATTACAGTGACCACATCAGCGGGAGTGTGGAGTGGACGGCAGTGGGGAGACGGATCCACATGGGGTAGGGACTCCACAAGTAGGGACAGTAATGCCAGCCTGATTCACACCAACTAATGATGGAGGGTCACATCCCAATTCAGAGGTTTCCATTCTTTTGGACTAAGGCTCGGATAACAATGGGTCATCAAAAAGTTTACTTTCTTCATCCATTTACTTATTCTATAGTCAACAAATATTTAATGAACACCTGCTCCTTGCCAGGTCCTGGGTTATACTTCAACTGCTGGGTTTACTCCAGAATGCTCTTTGAAAGTTTCCCGAAGTCTGTTTTCATTTTTAACTTATAATTTTGAATTTTTGTCCTCTGTACCTTTCAAAGAAAGGCTTCTAGAATTGTCTTTTGTACTGTTTTCTGTTTTTTTTTCCTTGCCCCTCTTAAAACACTTTTTTTTTTCATTTTACACAGCTGACTTATTTAAAATTTTCCTTTCTAACCCTGCTGCTTTTAAATATTTTTCTCCAGCTGAAGGATTAACAATTCACTGAACTAGTTGGTAGAGATCTAGTCCAGAAGAATAAGTACCAAATAAAATCCTAAATTATGTAAAAATTTTTTACCTGGATTCCTGAGATTTAGGAAGATCCTTAATTTTAACTCTTAATGTGGCTCCAGATCAGGGTTTAAATTTAACTTCTTTAGGGATGCCTTCTGGTTTAGCACATTTACAATGTAATTGCATCTTTTCTAAAGAAAACTCTGAAAAAAAGGGTGTTTCATATAGAAGGTCGGAGAAAGGTGAGTGGAAGAGAGAGAAATGAAATTAGGGTGGATCTCAGAAGGTACTAGAGTCTTTGCGGGAGACCATGTTGGAATTGGAAGTTTGTTTTTTAGGCCTCAGCATATACTAATCAAAGAAGCTAACTACTGACTCTTTAGATTGCTGGGGTTCCTCTTCAATGTATTAATTTTTTGGGGGGGTTCGTCAAATGCATTAATTTATTGATTTTGATATGTCAGAAGTTCCCGCATGTTGACCATCGGTATTCTAAACTCAAAAGTTTTTGCGCTTTATCAAAGTAAGTGCAAGAACTGGGATTATAGTGCAACAGCAAGCAGGAGTTCTTCCAAGAGGAGTTTGCAGATTTGATGCAGAAGAACCCAAGAAAGACAAGAAAGGCTACTTAGTAAGAATGTGTGCCAGTGAATGGTATCTTGGGTTCCCTTTCTATGCAAAAGTTAGGAAAGGGCCATGTAATCAATGACCTGACAATCTTTGACCTCAGAATACAGACTAAAAGTGACCTTCTTGTACACCTTGGTAAGATAGATAGAGAGCGGCTCTCAACAAAGTTTTAAGGAGACCCAAAGCCAAGTTTGATCATTTACCTTTTCCCGAATTGGTCACCAATCTAATGGAGCTCCAACTGTTGTCCCCTAGGACCAGCTTGGATTGGATTGTTGACGTATTGGGCCATTCCATATGGAACACTTCTTTATCTGTGTATCAGAAATAAGGCATTTCAGTACAAAACAAAAGCACATAAAATAAAACTTTGCAATATAGATAAACAAAAGCAAAAGCAAACTGAGCAGCAGGGGATTAGCAGTTTAATGGCAAATGCAGTTATCAAATGGTATGCCGCCAAAAAAAGAGTCTAATGAACTTATACAAGACCTATGTCTAATTACTCAATAGTATACCTCCCAGACAAAATGTCTAATGGCCATATACAAAGGCCCAGGTATAATTATTTACCAGAATGTACATCTGTAAACTAAAATTTCTATTTACTTTACACAAAGACTGAGATCTAATGATTTTATACAAAGACGTACTTGGTTAGAAATTTTAGAAGCCGTGAGAACTCAGTGAAACTCATCAGATTCAGACTATAGTTGAGACTGACTTATCTGGCAGCAGATCTGAAGGACAAATAGAGTCTGAACACAAGGAACCCAGTAAGTATATCTCTTGGTTTGGGGAAAGCAGGAAATTCAGAGTTTGGTGTACTTTCCTGGTCATAAGTAGAAGCATATTTATTTGTTGATTGGTTGGCATTCTGAAATATATTTATGGGGGTGAGTCACTTCATGGTCAAATGACCCTTAGAAGTGAGGGAGTGTTACTGATTGGTTGGCTTGTAAAAGTGTGTTACCTGAGGAGAGTTGTGATTGATTGAGCCAATGGGCTTAAAACTGGTTCTGGTTACCATGATTACAACAATCAAACTTTTCCTAAGAAAGTGTGAAACTTTTAAATGTTCTCACAGCTGACACCTAGTATCTGTTTTCACTAGAAAGTAGTAGAAGTTCACATCTGATCACCTCCATAAAACAACTGGGACAAAGAAGTCCATTACTGCGTGATCCGGTATGAGACCCAGACTGAATGTCCTGTAGGAATTCAGAGAAGTGAAAAGATCAGTGAGGACAGAAAAGATTTCGATAGCTTGGATTTGATTGGGTTGGGTAGTTTGTACACATATAGATAAAAGGCATACCCTTCGAAACTAAAAATACATAGGCATTTCCTATATATTTAGGCAAATGTGTAAAATATATGTAGTTTTACATATAGGCAAACCAAAAAATATAGACATTACCTTCTAAACCAAAAATTGGAGTACATAATTTGATATACAGTTTGACAAGAGGCAGAATATTTGAAATTATCCCTTTCTTGGAGAATCTGAGGTCTATGGCTTCAGAAGGTGTGGCGATTGTGGATGGGCGGGCATTCAGGTGGGAAGAGTAATGTGAAAAAAGGTGTGAAAGACCAGAAGGGACTAGGAAGGTCCTGGGTTCATGCGGAACATCAGGTGGGAGGGCTGAGATGCAAGCAGATCACGGAGACACTGGAAAATCTGGACAGGAGTCTTAGGCGCTGACATTTTTGAGGGAGGAGCAGCAGGACGAAGGAAGGTCACAGTCCCCAGTCTGGCAGGGATGTTTTGGGGTGAATGTGCTAGAGAGTGCAGGAGGTGGTTTGAGATGCTGACAGCTGGACCAGAGGGTGGCTGCATGGGTGGAAGAATAATAGACATAATAGGAGAGGCACTTGGGAAGGAAAACTGAATAATAAGATGGGGTGAATTCCTGAGAAGTTTTTTGGACATTTAAGGTGAAGTTATGTCACCTTAATATAGGGTCAAGTTTCCCATTTTGGAAACTGCGAGAACAGTGGTTCCACTGATACTCTTCTTTTCCTTTAAATACGTGTCTTTTCCCTTGATTAATCTCACCCCATTCTGACTGCTCTCTTGTTTGGAGTGATAAGGATAGATATCAGAGATGGCACTTCATCAGGGCCAGGAACACTGGGTAGGATTTGAGTTGGCAGAAATAAAATGGAAGGGTGTGTGTGAGGGGAGAGAGAGTCTGGTCAGAGGCGATGGCACGAGCCTTGCTATGTTTGGCAAAAATGCATAAGCCATGGATGGAGAGAGGGAAATGTCTGTACTTGATTAGGGCAGGAGACGTATTAAAATCACCAGGGGAGTGGCATCAGGCCTATGCCCCTAACCACTTCTTTAAGAGCCATTGTTTAAAATTCCCTGTGCTGAGCGCTGTAGAGCCACTGGACTAGCTATTACCACAGAGCAAGTTCTGTCCCTGGAGGAAGATGACTCAGGACTGTGACAACCGGTCTTTTCCCCTCCTAACCTAGAACTTCTTACTGTGATTCATTCTGTGAGGAGAAAGGCTTGGTAGAGCTAGACATCCAATTAAATGTTCTTGGGAGATTGCCTTCCCTCTTTTCCTACCAGCTAGCTAGTTTCCTCCCTCCCTCCCTCCCTCCACCCCTCCTTCCCCCTCACTGCCTCCACCCCCCTCCACTAAAATACAGTTAGGAAGAAAGAGGTATCAACCACGAGATCCTCTGGTGCACAGGTGTGAGATGGCAAATAGGCTTTGTGCCCTAGAATTAATCAGTATCTCTCATTCACTTACTCTAGCTCAGAAGTTGATTTATCTTCTGATCTTAAAATGCTGAGTCTGGTGGGACTTAGAAAAGTTTCTCTCTTGCCACTCCTAACACAAAGCAAAAGCGAATCCTCAACAGACTTATAAGCATGTAACATCAGTATGAGTCCAGAGCCCTGAAGCAAGTGTTGCCTGACCTTCAGGAAACTGCTCTCTCCACCGGGCTCCCGTTAAGAAGACCCCCTCCGCCAAAATGCCCACCCTCCCTGCTGCCCACCCCAGAAAACCGTGCCCCTCAGGAATCAGATGCTGAGATATAATACAAAACGTTTTTTATTTCAAAATGCAAAATGGTGGTCACTGTAATAATAATAACAATAACAACAATAATAATATAAAAAGCATTTCTCCTCCGTTCACCCTAGTGCAAAATGCTGGATGCAGTCAGATAGCTGGAAGGTTTTGGACATGTCATCTTTCTGCAGTGCTGCACAGCAGCAAAACTCAATCCCAAACGCCTTTTGGTGGGTCCACGTGGTAGTTCAGGTCTAAAATCAGTAGCTTCTCGCAAGTCCAAACAGCACGAGACGCCCACTCTTGCCCGACCCTCGCGCTCTGCCTCACTCTCCTTTCCCTGTGTGTCTCTCTCCCCCTCCCTCCGCCGGCCCCCAAGGTTCCTACGAGGCGTGCAGCCGGTTGGTCGGGGCCCGGCAGCCCTGGACGGCCTCCAGCTGCTTGCTTTTCTCCAGCAGGGCCCGCGCCCGGAGGGCCTTTCGCTCCCGGGCGGCCTGCAGCTCGGCCACCGCTGCCTCCCGCTCCCGCAGGCTGTCGGCGGCCGTGAAGGGGCTGCACAAGGTCTCCATCAGGCCGAGCACGGCGCCGAAGAGCGCCAGCACGCCGCCCACCACGTACAGCTTCACCAGGTTCCGTCTGGGCTTCTGTGCCATCAGCTCCCTGGCCAGAGGAATCAGCTCCTGGACCGTCTCCATCTCGGCTCCGGGCTCTCGGGGTGGGAGTGATCTGCGGGAGAAGCGGAGCAGAAAAGGGGGCTTTTAAGCCACCGAAAGACGGATGCATCTTCCCGAGCAGCCCTCACTCGGCTCTCTCGGGGTAGGCCTGCAGAGACGGGAGCCCGGCCGGGACCCCGCGCCCCGCCGCGCTCTTCCCCGCCGGACTCACCTAGGGGCGTCGAGCGAGCAGCAGGCAGCGCCAGCCGGGTGGGCGGGCACGGAGTGCGCGGGTCCCGCGGCTCTGCGTTCTCCTCCTCCCCCGCCTCCTCCTCCCCTTCCTCGGTAGCCGCGGGCCTTCCGCATGGAGATTCCGCAACTGACACCTGGTCAGCGCCCCGGGGCCACTTATATGTTTTTCTCCGAGCCCCGCCTCCTGGGCTCCTTGGGCTGGGGCCGGTGCTGCACCGGCCAGAGAGTGGAGGGGGCGGGAAGAGGAGGGTGGGGGAGGAGCGGGGCAAGGACCCTGGGGGAGTCAGACACGAGACGTGCACGTCGCGCCGGCCGTGTGAGCCCGGGGTGCAGGGGAGGGCGGGCCTGGATGTACAAGGGTGAGGACCCAGAGCCCAGGGAGGTATGCACGTCCATTTCTGACCTCTTTCTTTCTTTTTTTTTTTTTTTTTTTTTGCGGTACGCGGGCCTCCCACTGTTGTGGCCTCTCCCGTTGCGGAGCACAGGCTCCGGACGCGCATGGCTCACGGGCCCAGCCGCTCAGCTGCATGTGGGATCTTCCCGGACCGGGGCACGAATCCGTGTCCCCTGCATTGGCAAGCGGGCTCTCAACCACTGCCCCACCAGGGAAGCCCCTGACCTCTTTCCTAATCGTGTGGGTGGGGTCACAGCTTCCGTCGTCCGGGGCAGCCTGGAACGACCCCTTATAAGGACACCTGGGGTTCTACCTAACTGAAAAATTAGTTTTTATTCAGGAGGTTTGTCGTCTTCCCACACGTATAGGGATCCGAGGTAGAAGGCAAGGGGGAGGGATCCGGGTAATGATCAGAACGGGTCTCCAGGCTCCGCATAATGCACTTTGTGCTTATACTGTTTATTTCTGGTCTGACTGGTTTTATTCATAGGTGCTTGCATCGCTAGGGTCACTTGATATATAACTATTCATTGAGGGTGCCCTTTATGCACAGAAGGGGGCGTGTGTGTGTGTGTGTGTGTGTGTGTGTGTGTGTCATGTCAGTCTCTGTGCCTGTAGGTGTTTGTATCTGTACTTTTGTGTATCAGGGAACTGCCATTAAATCCAAATTGTCCCCACTCCCACTTGAGAAGTGAAGTTGTGGGCTAGGGAGAGGTGAACATGGAAGGGGGGCCGTTGGTAAAAGTTTGTCTGCTGGTCTGAACTGCAAATATTTCATACTTTCCTCAGTAATTATATGCCACTTCCCTGGATCTGGGGGGCAACGCCACCGTACCAGCTCCACTTAGCATAGAAACAGTTTAGGGACAGAAGAGTGAGAGTAGGCAGCTTGGGTAAGAAGCTGAAGAGTAGAGAATACTCTAGGAAGCATGAGGAGGGTAGGGTTGATTTCAGCTAGGATTAAACTTCATCACCTTTGTGGCGGGTGTTCTGGTTTAGCTTTGGTTATCCATACACCAGAGTTAGTTAGCAAGTAGGGGAAAGGAGAGACATTGGGCTAAAAGCGCTTCAAGCAGAGAAAGGGTGAGGGCAAAGAGAGGAGGGGGAAATTGGACTGGCCAGAAAATTGCAAAAGTCAGTGATGCAATCTTGCAACAGCAAAGTCAGTCAGGCTGAGCCTTGCGGGGAGGGACCAGGAAACGGCTGTTGCAGGGCTCACGTATTTGGGTCCTTGGAAATTTTACCAGTAATCTTTCTTTGGGGTCTGAGGCAATTTCCTAGACAATTCAGCTTAAAAAGGCAACAGTTACGTCTACCCTTCACCTTGGCTATTAGTAGTTCAGTTAGTAGGATTTGTGTGTGCAGATTGGGCAAGGATACCTAAAGAGCTTATTTGAAATTCTGCATTTTAATATGTACACAATCAGTCAAGGTGACAAAGGGCCAAATAGGGATGATTCCTGGAGGCTTGTGTCCCCTGCTTATTATTCTTTTCACCTCGTGAGGCAGGAACATTCTAACAAGGGGGGATGAATATCAGTCTTGGCATTTTCTTTGAATCTTATAATTTTGGAGAAGGCTCTGATAACCAGCGGAAATGATCTGTGAGCTTTCCCAAGATCTGTATGAGTTTCAAATACTACGGCTTCTGAATGAGCGTATGCTGCACACCTTAATACCAGGGCTTTCACGTGGTTTCTGCTCTGAAGGTGAGTCAGCCCTTTGGAACTTTGGACCCAAAACTCCGAAATGGACTGTTCAGTGAGCATTTCTAGTGTTTCTGTAACTCAAAGACGCAAACTGCACGCCTCCCAACGTCAGCAGACTGTAATTTATCTGGGGTTCCCCTTTCTTGTGATTTGCTGTGGTACAGCACGTCACCATCTCAGATGGGTTCTCCTCTTT